ACACCGGCTGGGACTTCTGAGCTCCACCTCACTTCTGGAAACTCATCCTTGCCTGCCGATGTCAAGTAAATAGTTTGCTGGAAGCCCCAGGTCCCCAGCAGTCTGGGCAGATGCCACTGAAGAGGAAACAAGGACCAGGGGGAGGCAGCCAGTCCCCCTCCCAGCCCCCAGCAACAACTCCTTCAAGGCCACCTGGATTTTATGAACAACAGTTACTCAATCTTAAACTGAAATGAAGAATACACTGGGAAAAAATGTTATCAGTTTTATCAAAATAACCCTACATTAATTACTGGTTAAATACCAGCTTTGAAAGCTTATACTTTATTAAATGAAATCCAGGATACAAAAACAACAGATCAGATCTGTTGATTTTGAGAGCAGAAGACATTATTTTAAAAACTGTCCARGCATGGTGGCACAGGCCTGCCATCCCAGCATCTCGGGAGGCTAAGGAAAGAGAATCCTGAATTCAAGGCCAACCTCAGCATTTTATGAAGACCCTGTCTCAAAATAAAAAGAGTCAGGCATGTAGCTCAGTGGAAAAGTGCCCCTGGTTCAATCCCCCATACCAATAATAGGAATGATAATACACTGAAATGGTACATATTAATCCACTGATATATTAACAATTTTATAATAGATGGCTTTAAACATATGCTATCATAAAAATGCAGCCAGAAGCATTTTTTTTTTTTGGTTGTAGATGGACACAATATCTTTATTTTATTTATTTATATGTGGTGCTGTGGATTGAACCCAGGGCCTCACACGTGCTAGGCAAGTGCACCACCACTGAGCCAYAACCCCAGTCCCAGCCTGAAACATCTTAAAAGTTCAAAATGGGAACACGATGTGATTCTTTACGAGTGGGTGATGACCTATGTGGTTTGGCATTCCAAGCGCTTCTGCTGCAAGCAGGGAATCCTACCCGACTCTCTGGTAACATACTCCTGGCAGGGCCATGGCTGAACTCTGAACCTTCTCTTTGGAGAGCCATCCCCCCACTCCTCACCCAGTGCCTAATGGAGGACTTCCTTTAATGTGCTGGGACGATGACTCTTTTTTTTTTTTTTTTTTTTTTTTAGAGAGAGAGAGAGAATTTTTAATATTTATTTTTTAGTTCTCGGTGGTCACAACACCTTTATTTTATTTGTATGTGGTGCTGAGGATCGAACCCAGCGCCGTGCGCATGCCAGGCGAGCATGCTACCACTTGAGCCACATCCCCAGCCCATGTCTCTGCCTTTGAGCCAGGGAAGATGAATGACGGAGTTAGACTAGGACTGTGTCCTCTCCTTCCTTATTTGAATCTCTCTCTGAATAGTCATATAATGGATCTGTATTGCTGTAAAATCCTGTGAAATGGTGGGTGGGTGTCTGTAAGTCCCTGTAAATCACAAGAGGTGCTTCACTTGATTAAGGGGCTGCAGAGACGCTCGGAAGAAAGCCTGCCCAGCCCCCCGGGCTCAGGAGGCTGAAGGCAAGTGGCAGAAATAGGTATGACTTCAAAGTGACCAGGGGACATGGGCTTTCCCCTGAATGGCCAGAGCATCATCAAATTATATTTACTCCCTTGTGGGGAGAAGCCAGAAGCAAAGATTGGAATGGGAATTTGGAGACTGTCAAGAATGCAAAGGACTGTGAGGACTGCTGAGTGGTCATTGACTCAGTCTATCCTTCGGCATTTTACTGAGTCAGTTGGCCGGCACCAAGCACCGGGAAACCAGGTAACTGGAACAGCCCCTGCCCTCCAGGGTCTCACAAACTGTGTGGGAGGAGAAGTGGACAGCCCAGTAATGACCGTGAGATAAAAGTACAATTAGTCACGTAAGCTAGCAGGGCCTGAGCCCTCCCACAGAGGCACCCACAGAGAAGGATCTCCTGACTGGATGGACGCTCTGCACGTGGGTGTCGCCACCCTTCCAATTCTTCCATTTGTTCCACAAAGGTTTATCGAGTGCCTACTATGTGTGGGGCTCTCCTYTAGGCATGGGGACAGCCAAGCCCCAAATCTGCTAGGTAATAGCCAATAGCTAAGTAAAGTATACCCATGTCAGAGGGAGCGGGTGCCATAGAGGAAAAGGAGGCTGAGCCACCTACTCACTCACTTGTGAAGTCTACAAATGCCAAGTGACCACCCACTGTGTGCCACCACCTTTACAGGCAGTTTGTCTTGTTTAGCAGTCCTGAGGACTGAACCCAGGGGCACTGTACCACTGAACTGCATCCCCTGTCCTTTTTATTTTATATTTTGAGACAGGGTCTCACTAAGTTTTCCCAGGCTGGCCTCAAACTTGAGATCCTCCTGTCTCAGCCTCCCGAGAAGGTGGCATTGTGGTGTGCACCATTAGGCCCAGCTATGTGCTGGCTAATTTTGCGTCTCATCGTGGCTTGGCTAGAGTACGGTACACAATCGTTTGGTAATATATCRGTGTAGGTTTTGCAGTGAGGTATTTTTCAGACTTTTTAAGATGTAATTAATGTTTCAATCAGTGGACTCTTAGTAAAAGAGATCACTCTCCAGGTAATRGTTTTGGATGTCATATTCAACTCGTCCAATGAGTCAAAAGCCTCAAAAGAAAGAAGACTGAGGTCCCCCAAGAAAGAAGGAATTCTGCCACCACACGACCTTTGGACTCAGRACACCAGACATCAGCTCTTCCCTGGGGCTCTGGCCTGCCAGCACGCTCTGAAACATGGCAGCCCCGTGGTCATCTAAGCCAATTCCTTAAATTCTCCTTCGCTCTCCCTCCCCGACTAATACAGYGGGACAAGGTGCAGTCACTGGCTCGGCCATCCTCCCTGGTTCCAAATAATGGCTAGGTCTAGATGCAGAGGAGGGGACCCAGTGAGCCCAGGATGCTGCACCTGCCCGTGCCAACTGTCTGTACACGGGTACCTTCTCTTTCTCCTCTTTCCAGAGCTCCCTGTGTAAGATCCCTTCCCCCTGAGCCTTGCTCAAGTCTGCTGGGGTGCGTGGTGTGGAAGGCGCTCACTCCCTCTCTGGCTGTTACTGTGCTGGTCTGAGTGGGACCCCAGGATGCAGGCACTCTGTGGCAGATCAGGCCCTTAAATCAAGCCCAGCAAAACCTGCTAATCACCCCCATGTAAGACGTGCACCCAGCCSTGTGCAGTGTTCACAGGAACACTACAAAGGGACCATGGCCTGCCAGGTGGTGGAGGATGTCATCGCAGCCACTGGAGCCATGCACATAACAAGGTCTCTTAGTGATAAGTACCGGATTCTCCAAAGAGAATCTTGCTGAAATGTCAGACTCTGACTTTTTTTTTTTTTTTTGTACTTCGAAACACGTGTCGCTGCTGCTGCAGGACTGTGCCGTCCTCTGGGAACGAACACAGGCCCATTGTTTGCGCTGCCAATTAGGAACCATGCTTGACCCTAACACACAAAGGCCCAGTTGTGCCCAGCCGCACAGGGGACTGTGTCGGATCTCTCCGCTCAGGTCTTCAGACACAGAGACCTTGGTGAGCCACGGGCAGGGTTCGGCAAAGCCCTTTTCTCCTGCTCCCTGAGCCGCTGATAGCGGTACCATTCTTAAGGCCAGTTCCGGTGGCATCGCTCTGCCACAGCGGCCATGTCAGGATGGATGTTCAAGGCACACCCACTTCCCTGGGGTGTGCTGTCCCTGAGGTCTAGTGGTGTCTCCTCCAACAGAGCTCGAGAAGGAAGTAGGATTTTGAAGGGGCAGCAGGGAAACTAGCCTGCCGGGGCAATATGTCATGCTTGTGACCAACAGGACTCTATTGCTGGCCCGAGGCCTGCCACAGAGGGGACATGTGTCCTCCAAGGCTCAGGGCTCAGGGACCCCAGAAGAGAGCTCTGCTCCATGGCAGAGGCCCCCAAAGGTAACAGCGGAACTGCTTTCTTTTGACTTCTCTGAAGAAAGCTGATTCACTCATTCTGTCTGCATTAAAAAATGGGACTAATAATGATAAGATTTTCCCAAATAGATGGCAGCATTATTCAGAAAGGAAACCTGCTCCTCAGGGGTAAATTTCAGTTATTAAATGGTGGGGAGAAGGCAAGGGGAGACGTTCTCCTGAACACCAGCACCACGGCCTGAAATCCATCCTCTCAAGCAGTCGGCATGATGGCAAACATTGCAATCCCAGCTGCTTGGAAATTTGAAGCAGAAGGATCACAAGGTCTAGGCCGGCCTGGACGATTTAGCGAGACCCTTTCTCAAAACTAAGTTAACGAAAGGGCTTGGGATGCAGCTCAGTGGTCGAGCGCTTGCCTAGCGTGGGGAGGACCCTGGGTGCCACCCAAAGTGTGACAACAAATAAATAAATAAGTAAAGTTACTTTAATACATGAAAAACTTGAATGTAAAAATGTGACTTACTCCTAGGCCAAACATGTTTCTCTTTTCCTCCCATGAGCATAGCTAGGTTTTCTGTTGTGGTTGTTGTTTGATTGGTTGGTTTTGTTTGGTACTGGAGATGGAACCCAGGGACACTCAATCACTGCACCTCATCTCCAGCTTTTTTTATTTCTTATTTTGAGACAGGGTCTCACTCAGTGGCTTAGGCCTCACTAAGTTACTGAGGATGACCTCAAACTTGTGATCCTCCTGCCTCAGCCTTCTGAGTTGCTGGGATTACAGGTGTGCGCCACCACACCCCGCCGTATCTATGATTTTGAAAACCTTGCCAAGGCCCGAGTCTAGAAGGGAGTGCTCTTCAGTGTTCACATAGGCCTAGGCTTCTCCCGGATGAGGACAAGGTACCATTGTTCTTCTTTCCATATTTTTGACATTATTTCATAAAGAGTAGGTGTAGTATTTTATAGCTGGGAAGAATAAAATAAACAAAAATCAACAAACAAGCGGTTGCCACGGTGAGAAGAAAGTGGGGAGACTTCATTATCTAGCTACTCCCTTGTCCCAGGGTCACATGATACTCATGGTCTGACAACTGGCGCTGGGAACCCTGCCCGGGCTACTTGAGATGAACGTCCAGGATCTTTGGTCAACTCCAGACCTCACCAGATGCCAAACTGAGAGGTCTGGCAACCTCTGAAGGTCACCCGGTCTGGGATTTTTCTTCCCTTGCTTTTCTGGCTGTAGCTCTGCATGTGTGTGCACTGGAAAGTACACATTTTAGTGGCTGAGGATCAACATGGGGGGCACCCTGCAAGGAGCAAGTTTACGGAGACCATAACACGGTCTCCTTGAAAGAAGATGGGCCCATTCTGTTCTTCTCCAAGACGCCTGACCCTGTAAATGAGACAGATTTCAGTGGTAATTCCCAGAGTTCAGCTTTCCAAGACAGAAGCCATGCACCAGAGACCACATAGGTCACCTCCCTGTGGATCTGGGGTCAGAGCCTGTCCCCTGGAAGGGAGCACACATTCACGTCCCCAGAGATTGACACAGACCGGGACTGTCTCCAGGTAAGTCGCCCTCGTTCCCGGTGCATCAACTGGTTGAAGTTTGGGGCCGCTGTGCTTACCCAGTGGATTTATGTCTTTGGTCCTGCATTTCTAATTATTCACCTGGTTAGTTTTAGCCAGAATTGCAGCCAAGTGTCTGAATTATGTCTATTCTCCCAAACTGCCAAGTGGAATCTGCTTTTATTAACTGAACTGGCCTCTCCATCTTTAATACATGAACCCCTGAGCCTAGAATGCTGATCCCCGCCCGTTCCTCTGACACGTGCCCCCTCTTCAGGCTTAGTGTCTCCCTGATGAAGCTTCCCCCACACCCTGGGCAGAGGTGAGCCAGTAACGTCTGGCATAGGGAATACTATTTGTTGAGCACCGTTATGCACYGCACACTGGGGAGTCCAACCGGCAGCCAGTTAGACATGGCTCTCTCGTGTGGAATCAGCTGGACACTCCATACTACAGCCACGACAGGCATGGGACAACCCGTGGGAATGCAGCTCCCCTGCCCGACCACAGCAGAGCTAACTGCCACACACCTGGGTGGCAAAGACAGGAACTATCTTGGTTAAAAGTGGGTTGAGGCCCCCTTGGGGGACTGTAGGAAGAGAAGTGTGTGCTTTCTTTAATCTGATATTCCTAAGGAAGAACTATCATCAGAATGTGCACCAAGCCTCCGACTGCTGCTCCCGGAACCCGTATCCACCAGGACGTCTCATCAGGAGTCACCATACCCCCCACGTCCTGTGTCCTTCATTTAGTGGCCAAGGCCAGTTCTCTCTAAAACGCCTCCGATTCTTGGACCACAGCCATCACCCTATGTCTGCATTGCCAACATCTGTCTTTCCTCCCTTCAACAAATACTTATCCAATACCTACTGTATACATGCCAGAGAGCGTGCCAGTGGTGGGCTAGAACATCAGTCAGAAGGGCAAGGGTGTGGCACAGACCAGCGGGAAAGAGGCAGCACCCAAGGCTGACATCAAAATGGAATCGAGAGAGTGGGTAGAATCAATGAATAGATGGATGAACGAAGGACCAGCTCTTTACACTACCATATGATCCTGTCCATAGTGTGGCTGGAAACCAGCCCCTGTCCAGACACCCCACTCTCTACCTGAACTTTAAGCGGTTTCCTACTGGGCGCTGGGTTAGGTTCTGTCTTCCTGGCTGCCTCTCTTCTGTTCTTCTTCTGACTTTCTTCCCTGTACGCTGGGGATTGAACGCAGGGCTTCATGCATGCCAGGTAAGTGCTCTGCCACTGAGCCGCCCCAGCCYGGCCTGGTGGCTCTCCTGGCTCTGGTGCCAACCTACCTTTCTAGCTTTATTTCCTTCTAACCCTCTAAGGAGAGCCCGTGGATTATGCTGACTATTGCTGTGTGTGTTTATTTTACCTGTCTAGAAAATTCACCCCTAAATCTGATACTGCAACTGTATCCATGGGAGGGAGGGAGGGAAGGGGCGAAGGCTAGTGGGAGTACAAGAGCCAGTCGGAAGCCCCGATGTTAGAAGAGAAAAATCAAGAAGGAAGAGAATAAGAATTTTATTGACAAACACAAAGGGAAATAGCAGAAGGACTTGAAAGTGATGGCCTTTGGGGTTACAGATCAAGGTCAAGGGGGCAGAGGGGTGTGTGGTGCACACCTGTGATTTCAGCCACTCAGGAGGCTGAAAGGCCAGCCTCAGCAACTTAGGGAGGCTGTAAGCAACCTAGTGAGACACTGTCTCAAAGTAAAGTGCTTAAGTACCCCTGGATTCAACCCCTGGTACTAAAAACAAAGCAAGGAGTAGGGCATGAGGCTGTGTTGGTTTGTTTTAAGACTAATAGTGTGTCCCTGCCTGTTTGTGGGGAGCGGGGTTGTTACCCGGAATGGAACCCAAGGGTGCTTAACCACTGAGCCACATCCCCAGCCCTTTTTACATTTTATTTAGAGAGAGGGTTTCGCTAAGTTGCTAAGGCTGGCTTTGAATTCATGATCCTCCTGCCTCAGCCTCCTGAGTCGCTGGGATCACAGGCATTCGCCACTGTGCCTGGCTTGCAATTGCCTTTTAAAACCACATACCTAGATTACTTTTTTTTAAAATATAAACAAACCTTATTTGTTTATTTTATCTCAATAAAGCTAACAAAATGCAGATATGATGGATCCCAAAATTTATGCTTTTTTTTGGTGGATTGAAATTGTTTTAATCATAAATTAAAAAAAAAGTAGTATCTATTTTGGGGGTGCGGGGAATTGAACCCAACACCTCAAGCATGCTCTGCCACTGAGCCACACCTTATCCCCTTAAAATTGTTTTTAATACGTACAATGCAACAAGATAAAGATTTCAACAAGAAGAAACGGACACTCACTGAGGAGATGTGTATGAAGTGCATGCACCTGGCATGTAAGAGGCAGAGAATAAAAGGCCAGCATCACTTTGGGGTTTCATTTATGAGCCTTGCCATGAAGCAGACGCAGAGAAAGGGATGCCGAGCTTCCCCACATTCTGTCGTGAGCCCTGCCACACCCAGCTTTCTAGTTTCCTTTCCTTCAGTGGCTCCTCTACAACATCCTTCCCTCTGGGGCATATGCGTTATCCTAGGATGACCTTTCTTTTGGATCCCCCAAAGTTTTTCTGTTGTGAGTTAGGGTAGTAGCAGCTGCTATAACAAATGGACCCTAAACTCTCAATGGTGTCACCTGAGGCAAGTACATTTTCCCCTCATCCTGAGTTCCTGGACTGGAGACCATTTTCCTTCCCTTGATAGCTTAGGAGCATGGGCCCTTTTCCTTTCTTTGTCTTTTCCTTGTTCCTTTCTCTCTTTTTTAGTGGTGGTAGGGATAAAACACAGGGCCTTGCACACATGAAGCTTGCACCCTACCACTGAGTCACACTGCAGCCCAACTCGCTTGCTCCTACGGCTCTTCCAYCCCCTGGGTCGTCTGCAATGAGGGGAAAGGGCCAGAAGAGAAGGCCCAACCCCAGTGGCCTCCGTGTGGGTGTGAACCCCATCGCCTCTGCCCGTGCTGCATTGTCCAGCTAGAGAAGGGGTTTCTGGGAAATATACCTGGATGGACAGCCTCTTTCAGTGAAAACTCAACTCTGTGGAGAGCAATATAGATTCTGGAGGAGACATCGTGCCCCACTCACTGCGGGGCCATGCGCCACGGTTCACTTGTGCAGCCTGCTTCATTTCTACCTCCCCAACAGGAGCCCTCTGCATTCCCAGCCTCAGACCACCATCATCTTCCCCACTCCGCTCTCTGCATTGAGGGGACGTATTCCGTCCATGTAAATACTGTGGGCTTTTCCAGGCACGAATGCATCTCCTCTTTGAAGACGTCTCCGTTTCTAGAGCCAGCCAGCCACTGACTCAACACAGAAACTGAATTTCTGAGTCGTGGAGTCTGAGAGTTGGATGGTCCCTCAACGATATGGCTCAATCCCATTGGTGTAAGGGAAATCGGCTCAGGAAAGAGAGAGTCCCCAGACCCTGGCAGTCATGGCATATCTGTGTCCCCTGCTTGCCAAAACTTTAGCAAGAATCTCAAAGGCCATGACCGGTCATGGTCTGGATTTTGCTATGCCAGGAACTTGAATTGTATGTGTTGGGACTGTGGGTTTGTTGTGATGGTGACCCCAATGAGCTCCACCTCCCAGGCATCCACATCCTGTGTCGTCCCCTCCTACTCTGGGCCGGAATTGGTCCGCATGACCCGCAACACAGCCGAAGCATAGGAGTGATAGGACGTTTCCTCTGACATCAAACCCTTTTCACTTCACTTTAAAAAATCCTGGTCCTCACTATAGTAACGCAGCCACATCAATAATCACAGCAGCTCAATTCACAATAGCTAAACCGTGGAACCTAGATGCCTTCAATAGATGAATAGATAAAGAAACTGTTGTACATACATACAATGGAATATTGCTCAGCTTTAAAAGAGAATAAAATCATGGCATTTGCAGGTAAATGGATGGAATTGGAGAATATCATGCTAAGTGAAGTAAGCCAATCCCAAAAAAAACAAAGGCTGAATGTTCTCTCTGATAAGTAGATGTTGATCCATAACGGGGAGAGGGGAGCATGGGAAAAATGGAGGAACTTTCTCTGGGCAAAGGGTGCATGGGGGCAGGAAAGATGGTGGAATGAGATGGACATCATTACCCTAGGTACATGTATGACTGCACATAGGGTGTGACACTACATTGTGTTACAACCAGAGAAATGGAAAGTTGTGCTGAAATTGGGTACAAAAAATCAAAATGCATTCTGATGTTATATAAACCTAATTAAAATAAATTAATTAATTTTAAAGAATGCTGGTCTTCCTCTGTCACGCACTCCACATATATTCCCCATGGCAGTGTTCATTCTCAAGTAATTTTACTACACTTTGGAAAATCTCTCTCATTTGATATTTAGGTTGATGTTTTGTTGGTTTTCTCTGTTTTTGGGGGGGTGGGCGGTGGGGAGGGAATACTGGGGATTCTCAGTACCACTGAGCTGCATCCCCAGTCCCTTTTATCTTATTCTATTTTATTTTGAGACAGGGTCTCACTAATTGCCCAGGCTAGCCTCAAATTTGTGATCCTCCTGCCTCAACCTCCGAGTAACTGGGATGACAGTCATGCACCACCATGCCTGGTCACATCATGAAGGACTCTGGCTTCTGTTCCATGTCCTGGATGGCTGACTCAATTTGGGGTGAGCCATGTTACCACAGCCCTGCAGAGAGGTGCAGAGGGCAAGCACTGAGCCCACTGCCACAGTCATGTGAGGCCGTTGGGAGCGGCTCTTCCAGCCCCGGTTGGATCTCCAGAGACCACAGCCAYGGCCTGACCTCAGCCACTGGGAGACGCACCCAGCTGGGCTCCTCCTGAGTTCCTGACTCTAGCAATTGTGTGGTTACCCGTGTATATTGTCTTAAAATTCTAAATGTTGGGTTAATTTGTTTCTCAGCAACAGATAAGTAAAATGGTCTTTTTCATTGTCTACTCAGGATAACGTGTGCATTCATTTACTTGGCAGGGGAGAAAATTCATTATACATTAAAGTTTATTTATTTATTTTGGGGGGGTAGCAGGGATTGAACTCAGGGGCACTCAACCACTGAGCCACATCCCCAGCCCTATGTTGTATTTTATTTAGAGACAGGGTCTCACAGAGTTGCTTAGTGCCTCATCCTTGCTGAGGCTGGCTTTGAACTTACAATCCTCCTGTCTCAGCCTCCTGAACCGCTGGGATTACAAGCATGCACCACCGCTCCTGGACCTACATTAAAGTTTTTGTTTTGTTTTGTTTTAATCAGACTCTACAAAGGTCTGTGGAAATATCCTCTGTAAACATCAAACATTTTGGTATCTCTTAAGTCTCCAAATAATTGGTACACTATTAAGGAAAAAGTGAGAAAGAGGAAGTAAGGGAAGGAGGGAGGAAGGAAAGGATGACCTTATCCATCGTTTTAAAGACATCTTGAATCCCATATTTTATGAAGCATACCCTGATCCACCCCTTACACCTAATATCCAACTGTGATTTCTTCTATAGTTGATGTTAACGTACTCAGGACACTTATCTTAGTTTGTCTTAATGTGGTAGTTCAACAAAGAAATATCTATTGGACACCGAGTGCCAGATGTGTGGCAGGCGCTTTGACACATCAGTCACAGAGAACGCACAGAGACCTTGTACGGGGCAGCTTACATTCTAGTTGGTATAGAAACGAGTACAATGCGATGGCACAGAGAAAAGAAAAACCGGAACAGGATGGCAAAATGACGTATGTCTTTATTTATTTATTTGGTGCTGGGGATTGAACCCAGGGACACTTAACCACTGAGCCACATCCCCAGGCCTCTTTTGTATTTTATTTAGAGAGGGGTCTTGCTAAGTTGCTTAGGGCCTCACTAAGATGCTGAGGCTGGCTTTGAACTAGAGATCCTCCTGCCTCAGTCTCCCAAGCCACTGGGATTAGGCAAATGACCCCTTCCCTGCTGCTTATATCTTTATCATGTCCTGGTGCAACTGTCAGGAGCTCAGGAGGATGGACAGGGCAGTGGGCAGGTGATCTTGGGACCACTGTGGGGCATTGCCTGTTCTGGGGCTTGGAAATATTTGCTTAATCAAAGCAACTATGAAGGAGCTGGCCCTAGAATGACGGAGTTCCCTCAGGCGGCAAATCCCAGAGTTACTGGATGCTGACACAAAGCCCCACTCACTCCTGGTTGATCACCAGATTTGTCAGCAGAACTGACTACAGAGAACCCACCTGGGTGAAAGCCCGAGAGTGATCCTCCCTCCTCCTCCCAAATGAAACTCTGCAAACTGAGCCCTTATCTCTCCCTGTTACATCAGATTGCCAATCTGGGAAGAATTGGATCAAAGAAACTGCAGTGTCCCTAAAGCCATCCACCCAGCATCACAGGACTCAGATAAGTGAGGCTATTTTAAGTACCTGAGACCCCTGTCCAGTGGATACCATAGGCGTGACTTCATTGGTCATCTTCTGCTCTGTGCCAGAGGCCCTGAAGGTTTTCTCCCCAACTTTCATAAGATCCACCCACATACACCTAAGGCCTCTGGCTCAACCTCCTCCTGTAGTAGGGCTACCACTCATTAAGCAAGAAAACCTGGCCGTATCCTTCACCCTTTCCCTTACTCTCCACGTGTAACAGTCCTCAACTCCCCCAGAGTCCACCTTAAAATCATCTTTCAAATGGATTCTCTCGGTGTGACCACCATTGCCACTCCAGGTACTTCCATCCCTTCTAATTTCCTGCCTGGGTGGCCTCACAGGGCTCCCACCCCAGGCCATCGCCCCAACCTGCGCCAGCCTGTTGCACCCTTCTCCATGTCAACTGTCACTGTTTCCAGAGTGCTCTCTGACGACCAAGCGTAATAAYGTTTCAAATCACTTAAGGGTTCTACATTCAGGAGAAGTCCACACACCTCAGCGTGACATGAGATGCACCTTGGAATCTGGCCCCAGCTCAACTCTCTCTTCACCTTGCTCCTGAGCTATTGCACCGTGTGGACGACATCACTCACAGTTTCAGAGGTCTCAGTCCAAAAATGGCCGACGGCATTGTTCTGGGCCTAAGGTGAGTCAGAACATCAGGAGGGGAGCGAGGAAAACAGCTCAGACATGGCAGTGAGAGAGGGGGCGGGGAGAGAAGGAGGCGGAGAGAGAGGGAGAGATCCATCCATCCAGATCTGCACACCAAGGACAAAATATACACCCCCAAAGGCACACCCCCAGTGACCCCCTCCTCCAGCCACTCCCCGCCTGCCTGCAGTTACCGCCCAGTTCATCCACATCAGCAGATTAATGCACTGACCGGGTTAAAGCTCTCCTAGCCCAATCATTTCACYTCTAAACTTTCTTGCATTGTTTCATCCGTGAGCTTTTGGGGGTCACCTCATTCCTAACTCATGATACTGGCTGTTCCCTCTTTCTTTAATGTCCTTTCATCAGCTTCTGACCATTACTGCTTCCCTTGTATCCTTCAAGACTCAGACCAGAGGCTCTTTGGAAAGATGCCCTGAGCCCTCCAGAGTGCTCTAGGACTCTACCACCTCCCTCAGCACCTTGCATGTGAGGCATTCATCTCATAACCACCGCTTGCTGCTCCCCTGGCCCTTGTATTAGAGATTGAACCCAGGGGTGCTCTACCTCTGAGCTACACTCCCAGCCCTTTTTATTTTTATTTTGAGATAGGGTCTCATCCAGGCTGGCCTCAACCTCAAACCTGCAATCCTCCTGCCTCAGCCTCCCAAATTGCTGGGATTACAGGTGTGCACCACCATGCCTGGTTTGTCCTATAGCTTTAAATCCCCAGCATCTAGTCCGCAGCCTGGCATACATATGTATTCAACAAAGGTTCAGTGACTATCTTCAATTCAAGAAGGCCTGTAAAGAATTCTGAGACCCAGTAGATTGCTAAGGTCTAACAACTCCTGAGTTGAGCAAGCCGTACCCTTACTCAACTTTTAGGGCTCTTTTCTCTATTCCAGGATTATTCTCAGCATTGTGGGAGGAGAAGTGCATCAGAATTCCCTAGGGGGCTGGTTAGAGAGACAGATTCACCTGGGCCTATGATGAATCTCTGTTTTGGACAAGCTTCCTTGGTGAGTCTTCTAAACAGGGATGAAAGGAAGGACTTGGAGAAGTAGCAAGACGACGTTACGGAGTAGGAAGGGCCTGGAAGTGGAGGGGAGGTTAAGTATCAATCATTAAAAATCCCAAGGTGCCCTTTGTTTTTATTCTTAGTGCATCTCAGAATCACCTGGGGAACTTTATTCTTTCCAGCCACAAATGAGGGTACCTGACTCAGTGCGTCTGGCAGGGGGTCCCAGAAGTTGCTCTTCTAACAAGCTTCCAGGTGCTTCTGCTGCTGATGCTGGTCCAGGCAGCACGATTTGGGAGACTCTTGAGCTGGTCAATAATTCTGTTCAATGCAATAATCTGTTTTGCGACATCCACAGAGAAATCCCATCTCCCTGTTTTTCCGTTTAAACTCTTCCACAGATGTGGATCTTGTTACATTTTGAAATGGGATTTTTCATGGATAACTCTCCATGTTCTTTTTTGTGCTGAACCAAAATTTGCCGTGAATACTTTTCACTCATGATTCCAGGTCTGCCCCCTAGGTTCTCAAAGAATACATCTGCACCTATTTGTATATGGGAATTTAAAAAAATGTTTGAAGATCAACACATGACCTATCTGTTTCTTCTTCCCTACACAAATATTTCCTGCTTCTTTGGTCATTGCTCAGACTGGAGGACTTTCACCAACAATCAATCAGATCCCTGAGAATCTCTGTCAACTTTTTTCTTACACCTGGTGCTCAGAACTGGCACAGTACTCCATTTGGGATCTGACCAGCTCAAAGCAGTCTCTTGAACTGCACACTATTTTAGAGTAGGCTTGTTTTGTTCTGGTACTACTGATGGAACCCAGGGCCTCACAATTGCTAGATAAGGTAAGTGTCTATCATTGAGCTACACCCCGGTCCTTTTTTATTTTGAGACAGGGTCAAAATTGCTTAGGTTGGCTAAGAACGTGGGATACTCCTGCCTCAGCCTCTGAGTAGCTGGTATTTCAGCCATGCACCACCATGCCCAGCTGACTGTATATTAAAAAACAACCCCTCACCAAACAAACAAACAAAAATATTTCATACATTTAGGCTTGTTGAACTTGGGGGTAAAAAAATTAATTTTTTTACATGTACTAGTATCCACTCAGGAATTGTCCACCTGTCCTTAATTAGTTGACTTTTTAAGGGTTACATTTAGCATTTACTCCTTTTATATGTGATTTTGTTGGTTTTCTCCATTTAAAAAAATAAACATTAACTCATACCTAAGTTATGAGGTGGTCATGGCAGTATGATAAGAGGGTGACAAATCCCAAGTATGAAATTACCGATTTTACAACTTTGCTTGGGCTCCTAATTCATACTTTATTCTTTCCAGCCACAAATAACACTGTGATCTGCAATCTCCAGGATCATGCACACAAAACTCCTCATTTTTTGGTCAACCCTGATCTGAATATTCTTTCTATTGCCACAGGTCCACATGCCAAACTCTTAGTTTTGGGTTCAGAAAGGACAGCCTGCCTTTCCTCCAGGTGTTTACAGTCTAAGAGAGAACTGTTTTGCCTGGTTAAGATGATGAAGGGAAATAATGAAGGGATTCAAACAGAAGGGAATTGAAAAGCCATCGTTACAAAACCAACATCAAAGTCAAATATTAAATAATGACATTTTGGTTCAATAATTCAAAAAGTGAAGTTGTGCTTATTACAGTGTCGGTCCACCCATATACTTGGATTCATTGATTTATCAGCCTACCCAGTGGGTGCTGTATAATTTGCAAGATGTTATTTTGGTTCCCTCCTGGATAGTGTGATAATGCCTCTACCTTTGAGAAATAGAAAAGATGCTGGTTCTCCGCAATTAATGTAAATWAAAAAAAAAAAACTG